AAATATCTTAAGCTATCATACAATTATTTATATGACTGAGAGAAAAAAAAAAAAAAAAAAAAAAAAAAAAAAAAAAAAAAAAACTACATCTTTTTTATCAGGGTAAGGAAAATATCGTAATTAATTTGCAATATTTTATTACACTATGGATTTTTTTTTTAACTTATTTTCAAATTCAGTTTAGTTTTCCCCCTCATTTATGCAAGGCAAAGTTTAGCAAAGGCATCTAGCGGTATTTACGTAAAGAAAGTGTGTATCAGTTCCGGTCAATTCCAAACTGAATTATAATCATTCAAATACTAATCTTACTGTAATCTGTTATCCAGTGTTGCTTTTACTTTGCAAGTGATAAATCTAAAATTATAAACCTCCATTGTTTATAATGCTATGTAAGATGTTTTTGTAATTCAAATATTTCTAAACTGCAGACAACATTTAAGTTAATATTTTCCTGAAGAATAATTTAGTAAAAAATGCATCATATTAATTACATAATATTCAAAGAACATTAACAATTTGCTTTTTGCTAACATTAAAAAAAATAACAATCTAAAGATAATTGGTAAATTCATTTATGTCAACCATCTTAATGGAATAATTTTGTTAACTTTGTGGTACATATATATACATATCTATGTCTGGAGAAAAGAGGGCCTCAAGAGTCAGTTTATTGTTTAGAAAGTTTTCCTGTATTACATTCCAGTAATACATAAGCTGAGACTACAATTTCCTTGTACCTTTTCTGCTTTACCTAATCTAATAAAATTACCATATTCTAGGAAATGTATTACTATGTTTTGGTCACTCACAGAGGAGTGGCGAGCAATATATAATAGGCACCCTTTGGAGGGCAATAATTCTACAGTATGAAAATATCAATCTTGGTCTCACAACCTAAGCATTACCATAATTTAATTTCATATAAAACAAACTACAGATTTCATATGAACATTATCAAAGCTTTTAAAATCAAGCACTCCTTTGACAATGACGACTCCTGACTAATAACTGAAGGATTTTAGCAACCTTCGGAACTTGCTAAAATGCATAATACATTGCATATGGGATGATCTTTTTGAAAATATACATAGTATAAAAAAAAAAAAACACTTTAAAAGTACACACAACCCTAAATACAACTCTCAATATGAAAAACAGTTGACATTTCAACTTCCTAAAAAAAGTTGAGAGATAATGGAATAAACAAAAGTTTGGATTTCATGGCACAGTACTTGAACTGTCTTGCTCATCCTCTACACTTGCACACTAGTAAAACAACAGCCCTGAGTTGATATTCCACTAAATTTGAAGAATATGAATGTTCTCGGAAATTTCTCACATTCCCGTAAAAAGCAACAACACTAACATGTATAATCTCTCAATTACATTCATATATATGTTGGACAGTTTCAGGTACACTCCATACATCTATTAAATTGAAGGCTACTTCACAGCCACACCAATAAAAATATATGTAAAAACTTCATGAATCATTTTTTAACTTGGACATCTTACAATCAAAGCTTCATGACAGTTTACAATTTCACCCTCTATAAAAATTGAGAGAATTGACACAATGTAATCAAGGGCATTAGTCTTTTTGCAGCATGAACATTTAAGACCAAATGATCTTAATAGATGGCTTACAGTATGAAAAGCAAGGCACTACTAAAGAATATGAAATTGATTCACATTTAATATTAAGATAAAACAACAAAAATTCTATTACCTTAATACAGTGGAATAATGTCTGACAATGATTTTTATATCCTATTACTAGTAATATTTGTAATGATTATAAACAATTTAAAAATAAAATGCTTATAGTTGACAGTTATATAAGTCATACATATGCTTCTTTGTTTTGATTTCAATAATGAAATAAAGTAACAGTAATGCCATCATCAGGTACATTATTAACATTTCTGATGAACATCAATACAAATGGTAGCTAATTATTAAAATACTAATAAATTCATGCAAAATTAATTATGCACAATTTTAATGAAAAACTCTCGAACAAAAAATAAAATTCATAAAGAACCTGTAACCTGCAGAAAATATGGAACCAAATCTACTTCAAATGCAACTAAATATTAAATACATATTTTTTTGGATAAATCTAATATACTTTTGTCTACTTCATGCTATGAATTGATTTTCATATTATGATGTCTCGTTTATGAGCATTTTTTTATAACAGCCAGCAGACTGATGGCTAGGAAAAGATACTGATAAATATGAGAACTAATCACAGGCCAGTCCTACTAGAAGTTATATTTATGTCATTTTACTGTATATGTTTAGTTGAACTGTTTATACCATCCATCCATGTGTAAACTACTTTTCACAGAAATGAATAAGAGAAACATGTGAACTGTAAAAAAAATACATAGTGTTAATGACTTTTCAGGCTATGTTTAGTAATTCCTTTACTATTGCTTGTGAGCTTCCCTGTGTTATCTTATCAAGTAACAAAACGGTTTCCTGTTCAAGTAGATATAACACAATATATTTTCATTATATTTGATTAGATGTATTTACCTTTACAAGTAGTTTCACAAATTATGATCAACTGATTTAAATACAACTGTTATAATGAAGTAATGGATATAATAATTGTACAAGCTATAATAATTGTACTTTTTTTCTTTTAATATATATTTGAAAAAAGTTATATTAACAATTACATTGTTTAACAGCAAATACTTAGTTATGTCCTTTGGATAATTAAAAACACTTATTACATAAAAAAAAAAGGTTGGCATCCTTCTGGTCTGCAAAGATTCAAGTAGGATGCTTATTCAAGATGCAAAAGGCACGCTCTCAAAGCAAAGTGTAGAAAGCTGGCAGATTACAATGCATTTTAACTTTGGTTTAAGCATATTCTAAGACCAAAGAAAAGCACTGATATAAAACAATTAACAAAGATGAAGATCTATGAGAAGGACTGATAAAGACAACACTTTAAAAAATTCACTCTAATATTAAATCAAGGTATTACCATGGCCTTAACCCAATGTCAGTGGGTTTATGTACTGTACCCTTTAGGTTTTAGTGAATTTTGTTACATACATGTGGCTCCAAGTGTGCTCAGCCAGCAAGGAGTCTATCAGTTAGCCCTTTTGACTGTGCCTGATTTCCCTATTTCTTGAATTGGAGGGAAAATGTGTATTTCTTTCCAATACTATGAACACTGACATAATCATTCTTATTAATATTACAATTATTAAATTGCTATTAAAATATTAACAACATTAAAGACAATAAAATATTAGAAATGAAGTTTTCAACAATGTCTCCCAAGATTTTGTACAGGATCAGCTTTATAATCCCATGGAAGGAAATGCGACTGAATTTGAAAAGGTCAATTTTGTAATCACATTATAATTCATACTACTTGTGTTATTTTTTAGCATGTGAGGGCTCTTGGGGGAAAAAGGTTAATGGCTCTGTATCCCATCTCATCTTACCATTCCATACACCTGGTGCCCCCTGGTGCATCACCTGGTTTCCAGACTGCTTAGTCTGCCCATAATCAAATTTGGTCCCTTTTAAGACATAAAACAAATCTTCAAAAATGGTGCTATGATTATGAAAGTTATGCATTAAAAATGTGCATTACTTCAGGTAGAAAAATATAGTACCAAAGAAAAAGAAAGAAGAAGAAAAAAAAAAAAAAACATGAAAGAAAAGAAAAAAGTAGTGGCCAGGTCCAACAGACCCTTATTTGTCAAAACTTAACCCAATGGCTGCTGGTTAATGTACTGTTCACTATTGATTTTTGTGAATTTTGTTGCACACAGATGGTTCCACAAGTGCTCTGCCATGAAAGAGTCAATTAGTATGCCCTAATAACATACTTGATCATACCTTTCTTTGAATTCGCAGTTTTTTTTTTCTAATGGTTATTTCTATCATTGACATTATGATTAATATTATTAATATACTAATAACAATAAAAATAAATTAATAAAAAAGAATCTTGTTAAAAATCAAGATAAAAGGTAATCAGGTGTAATAGGCAGTACTAATAATTGACTCCATTTGTGACTAAGCACTTGTGGAGTCACCTCTGTGTAAAGACAATCAATAAACTAAAAATTACAGTGACCATAGCATGGCAACCATTGGGTTAATCTTTGGTGTCATACAATAATTTAAATCAATGTATGAATTAATCTCACAAAATAATTTGATGATATACACTTATTAAGTGTCATATAACAAAAAAGTTGTATATTGATTTGATAATGTAAGAATAGGTACACCAAACTCTAAGCTCACTCTCACCTCCTCTCTTCAGGAACCTTCAACAAAATTCTTATGCTTTCATTCCTTTTCTTCATTCATTCATCCTCTCACTGGAGCCTCCCTGTACATTCCCCACGACTTGGACAATCTCAATAATCTGGCTCAAACAGACAGGGTTTCACTCTAAACATGTTCCACTGTATCGCAGCCTCTTGCACTACTTGTCATAGTTCCCACATATTCAAAATTCAAATTTACAGTGTAGCTAGAAGCACTTCAATACATCAAAACAAAATATTAGAGTAAATTCATTTTCTAATCAAAATTATTAAAAGAAGAAGAAGAAGAAGAAGAAGAAGAAGAAGACGACGACGAAAAGAAAGAAAGAAAAACTATGGCAAAATAAAAATGGGACTGGCCATCACCCAAAAGTGAACCAGTGAACCATGTGCACTAATTTGCTTATTGTCTTGTGTGAAAGCTCCCCTAAGGCACTTTGTTTTTCATGAAAAGGAAATTTGTCTTATGAAATATTTGTAAGTGTACACAACATATGTATATGTGTGTTTGTGTGTGTGTGTGTGTGTGTTTGTGTGTGTTTGTGTGTGTGTGTGTGTGTGTGTGTGTGTGTGTGTGTGTGTGTGTGTGTGTGTGTGTGTGTGTGTGTGTGTGTGTGTGTGTGTATGTGTGTATGTGTGTATGTGTGTGTGTGTATGTGTGTGTGTATGTGTGTATGTGTGTGTGTATGTGTGTATGTGTGTGTGTATGTGTGTGTGTGTGTGTGTGTGTGTGTGTGTGTGTGTGTGTGTGTGTGTGTGTGTGTGTGTGTGTGTGTGTGTGTGTGTGTGTGTGTGTGCGTGCGCGCACGTGTGTGTACATGTGAATGCTTGTGTATGTATTTAGGTACATACCCATACACACATACAAATAGAAGAATTATACACAAGAAAATAAAAATAAAAACCCTACTCCTCTTGAGTATGTAATACTCAATAACTGTGTAATTAAATAGTGCAGACAAAATTAAGTTACAATCTACTATATACACATCACTTTGTCACTTCAGAGGTATTGAGATGACTTCGGTTCCATTTACAGAGGTATAGACGACTCTGCGGCTGCAACCATCTTGGCAAAAGCGGAGTGGGGATTAGCCATAAGGTTGCGAGGAGTGTCAAATTCAACCACTTTTCCATCATCCAACACCAATATGCGGGAGCAAGCCATCACTGTGTTTAATCTTTGGATAGAAAAAGGATGCTATGAGTAATTCTGGCTTACCACAAAATTCATATATAGTTCAATATTTTGGGTATGCAATCTTAAATACACACACGCACAGATATATATAGATGGATTCATATATACATACATACACGCACAGATATATATAGATAGATACATATATACATATACATGTCTATGTATCTATATATCTATTTACCTATATTCATACATAAATACATATACATATCTATGTATCTATATATCTATTTACCTATATCTATATCTATATCTATATATATATATATATACCTATATCTATCTATCTATCTATCTATCTATATATACACACACACACTGATATAGATAGATACATATATACAAACAAACCTATGAGCAATGGTAATCATTGTGCAAGCTTTAAAGGCCTCTTGTAGTGTACGTTGAATCTTGGAATCTGTCTCTGTGTCTATTGCAGCTGTTGCCTCATCAAGGAACAATATCTGGAATGGTTTAATCATAGAATCATAGCATATTCAAATACATCACATTAACATAAAAATAAAGAATGAATAAATGAAGTTAATGGTGAAAGAGCTATATCAATCAATGTATTACCTTATTATTTCTCAGCAAGGCCCGAGCCATACACATCAACTGACGTTCACCAACAGAGAAATTCTCTCCATTCTCTACCACAGGAGCATTGAGTTTCAAAGGAAGATTTGCAATCTTTTCTTTCATATATGTCTGTTCTAAAGCTGACCAAACAGCTTCATCTGTATATTTCTCAAAGGGATCCAAATTGTATCTGAATCACAGAAGAAAAGGAATTAGAAATGCAACCAATGTATTTGTTTAGTATAAAATACCTATGCTGATTTTTCCAACTTATCATTAGACTGTTTAGGTATGGCAGTATTATCATAAAAAGCATTGTAACATCACTAACTAGCTAACTTAAGGGTTATTACATAGCCACTGTAATATGTATACCAGTTACTTAACCCAATGCTGCCGAAATGCCTCTGCACATGTGAAATGTCTCTGTACATATTGATGGTGTTACTTTTATTATACACATTACAATTACTATAAGGTTATAAACATTAGTAACAGCAAAATAAGATAATGTAAAATATTTTCAAAAATCAAGGAAAGGGGTAAACAGGTGAGACAGTCAGTACTCGTAATTGGCTCATTGGTGGCTTGTGTAGTCCTCTATGTGCAAAACAATTAATAAAGCAAACTTAAGGTGTGCATGGCATGTACATACATGCCATGCCTATCAGCATTGGGTTAAATAACTGAAACACAAGCAAAATGTAAAGTAATATAGTTCCATATCAGAAAACACATTAGTAGTCCTTTTTAATACCTGACTGTGCCAATGAAAAGCACTGGATCTTGAGGAATGATTGAGAGGCGAGATCGTAGATCCTCGAGGCCTAGGTCTGAAATGTCTACTCCATCAATTCGCACACTGCCTCCTGCTAGCTCAACCAGCCTGAACAATGCTACTCCTAGAGAAGACTTGCCTGAACCTGTCCTTCCAACCACGCCTAAAAAGATAGGTGGAATAGAAGGAAAACTTTGAAGATGAATCTTAAGAAAAGATCATCATATTTTGGAATACCAAGCAAGAATAATTATTTCTAAAGCAAGAGAATGGAACTAGATGGAAAAGGGATGGGGTGGAATGGAAGAGGACTGGATGAAACAGCCCAGGCATTACCTGATATATGAAATCACACTGATTATGTCACATTAATTTTTTTCTGGGAGGAAGGGAACTCCTGCATGATAGTGGCAAATGGAACTCTATGTCCAATAAGCAGTAACCCTAAATTGTGGAAAATAGGACTGGAGATAACAGACAAGAAAAATTATAAGATGAAACAATTACCACCAACCTATTTTCTCCAATGAATCGATGTCAAATGTGATGCCCTTCAAAACAAGAGGTGTGTCTGGTCTGTATTTCAGCTGCACATTTCGGTAGCTTATGCGTCCATACTTGGGCCAGTTTGGATCTGGTCTCTTTGATTCTATAATAGCTGGAGCTTCTGAGGCTAAGCACTGTGGAAAAATATCTATCTCACAAATATGAATGGGGGGGGAGGATAAGCAAGCTTGAATGGAGGAATTAATACCAGATACCATAGAAAAAAATGTAATAAGATTAAAAAATTAAAGTGTTTCATACATGTTAAATTTTATGCAAAATATATAGTTAAATCCAATCAACAACATATGTACTTTCAAAAGAAAAACATTATCAAAATAATATATATACAGAGTATATAAGTAATTTTCCTTACCTTGGTATAATTACTAATCCGCTGGACTGACGTAAAGCGTGCTTCAGTTTCAGTGCTAAGTCTTACAGTATACTGGAAAATGCCACTTAACTGGGCAGCATAAGCCAAGGCCAGCCCTGCAAAAGATGCTTCCACAGATCCTCGTAATATCAACGAGAGAATGGCTGTGATTGACATTACCAACACTGAAAAGGTATCAAAATTTTCCATGTTAAATATAAATAATAAGTTCAATGAATCTCCAATGGAAAGGATAACCATATATTTCACTAAATTACATAACTATATTTAAGTATGTATTCATAACCGTAACATAATAACACTCACAAGCTAAAAGATCAAGTCGAATGGCTAACCATCGCATAGCACAGTTGAACAGGAAAAAGACACACGTGTTTTCATCAAATAATACCATAAATCTGTAAGAGATAACAGTATAATAATCATAAAGCAGACAGAAGAAGACAAGTTTCAGTATATTCATTAGAGATCAAAGACAGAAAAGTATTTTCACATTATAATATATTTAGTAAATAAAATAATACAAACTTTTTGGTAAACATCTCCTGTTTGCCATATGCATTGATAGTGGCTAACCCATTCACAGTTGTACTGACATGACTATACATAGGAGATCTTGACACATTCTCCATCCTCTTAAAATCACGAATTCCAATCCTGTTGGATATCATAATGGAATTATTCCAGAAAATATAATGCAGTGCCTATAATACAATCCACCAGCACACTGCAATTTTATCAGCAACAAAAGTCTTTCAAAAACAGAAGATATATGTTCTCACCTGAAGATGCTCCTAATAAAAAGGAAGAGGATAGCCAATACAACCAGAAACGGAAGGAAATGAGGGAACACCAAACAGACGAACACAAGTGAACTTGTGATTAACCAAATATTCTGCAGGAAAGTCTCCATGGTCATAGGCACACGCACATCCACTGAAACAATCATTTTAACCTTATTTTGATGTGTTTCTTAAGAAATTAGTCTCATGTCTTAAAAAAAAAGGAAGAAACAAAAGCATACATTATGTGAACAAAACTGGAGAATCTGAAAAATAAGGAAAAAGAACAGTTGTTTTTTATGCCAATAAATATCTTTCATTTGAATATCATTATGTTATCTAATTCTGAAAATAAGAGGGAAAAGAGTATAGAGAGAAAAAAAATAAAAATAAAAAGTAAAAAAAATAAAAAAATAAATAAAAATCATAATAAATAAATAAACATATATCTTTTTACAACAAAAAACATTGTCTATCAAAGAGATATTAAGTAATTATAAAGCCACACGTCATTTACTAAAGAAGATATTACAAAATCATACATTATTTTACAACGAAGCTAAACCAAAGACAAATTATAGGGAAGCCAATAATGCAAAGAAATACAAAACATATTACTCCTAAAACTGAAGCTTTAGGTACCAACCTTCATCCATGTCTCTGGAGAAGATATTTATAATGCGTCCTGAAGGAGTTGTGTCAAAGAAGCTCATGGGGCTTCGGAACACTTTGACAAACACTTGGTCGTGCATGCTGCTGGAAGCCTTTAGGGTAGTCTATTTGGAAAAAGATTATTATGCCATTTAAGTTTGTTTACATTTATGTGGTAATTCAGAGAGATAACTGTTGGCAAGCTCAGGATAGATTTTTATAACCCAGAAGATATGGTTAAAAGACAACATCACTAACAGAATAACTTTTACTAATTACCTTCATAAATGCAAATCCTCTGATTAGTGAAGTTCCAAGTATGACTAAAATAAGGCAGCCATAAACAGTCTGGTACATAAAAAGGTCAGGGTTGTCTGCGATGTTGTCACTGATGACCGTTCCATTTCCAACTACCACCTCTGTGTTCTGTTGAAATTAATGCTGCTTAATATTTTCATTACATCTTTCATCTTGGGAAAGAAAGTGGAGAGAAAATATGAAGGTAAAAAATAATCATGAGAGGATATAATAATAATAATAATAATAATAATAATAATAATAATAATAATAATAATAACAATAAAAATAATAATGACAATAATAACAATTATAATAATAGTAATAATAATACTTATCACTACTATTATCATCATTATTATCATCATTATTACCATCATCATTATCATCATCAATAATGGTTAATGGTTAGAAGAAATAAATGTCTTAAACATCAAAAGTCATACAGCACTATGGTAAAGTATTGTGGCAAAAAGGATGGAAATGAGTTAACGATCAGGATAAGATGTGTTAAAATGGCAGTGAAAAGGGTATAGAGCAGGAGCAAATGGAATACAGTGGGGATTTGTAAATCTGGATATTTTAAAGGTATGGGGTAATCAGATCAAATGGAGAGTATGTGTCTGAAGTAGGGAAAGTAATACTGTATGAGGAAACTGCAAAAGAGCTATTATGAAACAATCAAAGGGTAATACAGTAAGAAATGATAGTCACAGAAGAGAGAGAGATCCAGAGAATGAAATGTGGGAACAGGGGAAGCTGGTGAAGTATTGGGAAGAATGTCAAACATGTGAGCATCTAAGTGGGGGTGATAAGGATAATGAGGAAGGAAGAGAGAATGGTGATGCACATGGTGGAGGAGAGGATGGGGTGTTTTTTGAGTGAGTGGGAGGAAGAGGGGTAAGAGGAACTTGAGGAGGAGGAGGATGGATATTGGCAAATACTTTGAATGTAGAGCTAATAGGAATAGAGGGATTAGAGGGTGGATGAGGGAGTGAATAGTTCTCTTGAGTCATGTTTAGGGAACTTTTGGATGTCTTCAAGAGTTTCTGGAGGGGAGTTGGGTAGGGAGGTCTGAGAAATAAAGGTTTTCTTATGTGGAGGAGAAGAGGGAATAGATGTCTGAGGAGCAGAGGAAGAAATAGGTGTGGGTGAGGATGTGGTAGAAGATGGAGTGGAATGTTTTGATTGTCTGGTGCAACATGTAGTGAAAAGGCGGAGGGGAGTGGAGAGAGGAGTAGAGATAGGATGGTTTGGGGTAGAGGGAAGAGATACTTGAGGAGATGCTGAGACTTCTTGAGAAGATGACAGGAAAGAAGAGCAAAGTACAGTTTTGGAATAGATAGAATGAGAAACCTTGTCTGGCCTCACATAGAGTGAGGCCTAGTTTGAGAACTGCTACCTCAGATTCGAGCTTGTAGGCAAATCAGCTCTTATAAAACACATTATGGGAGCCACCACAATTGGCACACGTGTGTGACTAAACAGAGCAATTTGAACGGTCATGACCAGGTTGGGCACATAGAGGGCAGTGAGCTGTGGAGTGACAGTGTTTAGCTGGGTGGCCAAAACACCAACATATCTAACATTGATGGGGTAGAGGTCAATACATTCAGACAGGTTAGGACACTCCACCAATATAAACTTCATGGGGGAGGTCATGCCTATAGGAGCTAATCTTGGCAGTATTGGTGTAGGAATTATGTTGGCCTCTGGGAGGAATAGGGTAACACTGGACTGCCACTGCATCACAGTTAACAAGGCATGCAAGCAAGTTGTTTTCAGTCTGACCATCCTTGTCGTAGACAGGACAATCAGTTGGAGAGACAGAAAAAGTTCCGGTACAAGTATTAAGGGAGGAGTAAGACTGGGAAGTAATAGGTTTGCCAGTAGAGAGTGCATGAGTAGATGTAACTGTGAAAAGGCATGAACAATTTGAGTGAAACTTTGCCTACTTGTTTTGGGAGACATTGTTGGAAGAGAAGGGTACTGTCAGAGTATGGGGCTGTAGGGGGAATCACAAAGAATTGATCCCACTTAGCTGTGCCAAAAAATGAACTCAAAAGGTTTGTAGAGGTGGAAGTAGTAGAAGGACAAGGGCAGGAGGAAGATGAGGTGACATGGAAACAGGTAGTACTGTTGGGAGGGGGACAATAAGGATGAAGAGTAGTAATAAGCAGGTAGAGGGTAGACCTGAAATAGACGGTTGGGCACATAGAGGGCAGTGAGCTGTGGAGTGACAGTGTTTAGCTGGGTGGCCAAAACACCAACATATCTAACATTGATGGGGTAGAGGTCAATACATTCAGACAGGTTAGGACACTCCACCAATATAAACTTCATGGGGGAGGTCATGCCTATAGGAGCTAATCTTGGCAGTATTGGTGTAGGAATTATGTTGGCCTCTGGGAGGAATAGGGTAACACTGGACTGCCACTGCATCACAGTTAACAAGGCATGCAAGCAAGTTGTTTTCAGTCTGACCATCCTTGTCGTAGACAGGACAATCAGTTGGAGAGACAGAAAAAGTTCCGGTACAAGTATTAAGGGAGGAGTAAGACTGGGAAGTAATAGGTTTGCCAGTAGAGAGTGCATGAGTAGATGTAACTGTGAAAAGGCATGAACAATTTGAGTGAAACTTTGCCTACTTGTTTTGGGAGACATTGTTGGAAGAGAAGGGTACTGTCAGAGTATGGGGCTGTAGGGGGAATCACAAAGAATTGATCCCACTTAGCTGTGCCAAAAAAGGAACTCAAAAGGTTTGTAGAGGTGGAAGTAGGAAGGGCAGGAGGAAGATGAGGTGATATGGAAACAGGTAATACTGTTGGGAGGGGGACAATAAGGATGAAGAGTAGTAATAAGCAGGTAGAGGGTAGACAATGAATGAGACTATGCAGTAGAAGATGGAGTGGATGATGGGAAAGAGGATGTGGTATATTCTGAAGGTTTAGTAATGACCTGGGTGAATAATATGGAAAGGACAGAGATGACCACAAACATTGAGGAGGGGGTATTAGTATAAGAGTTTGGAGCAGTGATCAAAGGAGAGGCATGGGTCAGGAAACCAATGATATCAAATTTAGATAGGCTAGTTATTGAAGGGGCAAGCTTTAATGTCCCTAATAAGGGGAAAAAATCTTCATTATTGGCCATGGTGAGCCTGAAATACACTGGGGGAAGAAATGGTCAACCCCTCAGACAATTAACCAAGGGAATACTGTGCCAGTGGCTCTTGGAGGCCATTCATGATTGACATAAAGCCAGCCTTTCATCCTTTCAGCACAGCTCTCACACTTTAGGAAGTGAGCAGAAGAGGATGATGAAGAGGAGAAGGAAAGGAGAGGGGTAGCAGAAAAGACCAAGCAAAATTAGTTGAGGCGAGGGCTGAGGTCCAAGGCAGGGGTGATCCCCTACATTGGGCCTCAGTCCCTGTCTCCTAAGCCCCTACGAGAACAATGAGCAAGGGATTAAGGGGGTCATCATCATTAATAAATAATGGTTAATAATTAATAATAATAATAATTATTATTGATTAATCAATAATGATTAATAATAACTAATAACAATGATTAATAATAACTAATAATAATAATCAGCAATAACTAATAATAATTAATAACATATATTATCAATGATAATAATAATAACAGCTATGTCCCTTTCCTTACCATCATCACTAGCATTCTTCAAAGGTAACTCTTTAGATATTTAATCTACCTATTCCTACTTTCAAGAATTTCTCTTCTGCTAATATTAATACAAATTGTATGAAGTACATGGACATATTCAGAGCTCAATCATCCTGGTAGTGACACTGATAAGATTACAAGCATTATCAAATCTTATCTATGATAAAAATACCACCACACTTATTTTCAGTCTACCTTTGTTACTGCTACTTATTAGTTGTCTGTGCTGTGCTTCCTTCTGGTGAAATGATAATGTGGTAGTCTAATAAATATAAAACCACTGATGTTCTTAATGCTATGGCTAAAATCTGACATAAAACAGCAATTCATATTATGATATTCAATCCAAGTTCACTGTGCAACTCACATCACACATTCAGTAAATGTGATGGTATGAAAAAGGAAATTTTTCTGAGAGATACCGAGTTAGTGGTTGCCTGCACAAGTAACAGACACAATGTTTACAAAAAGTGGAATTTCAATCACATTCATCATATTGGTTCATCACTTGAATCTATTTAGTGTCTCCAGTGAAAACACCATAAGAACACCATGCTGCTACAACATTTCCTCTAGAAATGAAGATTTAATTTTCAGCTGTTCTTGCTCCCTGGGAAATGATGTAAGTAGAAATTGATTCAAATATAACACAGTAAACTTTAGCGTTTCCGAAAAGAGACATCCCAATGCTGACTTCTATTGATCTTCTTACTTAAATGTTAAAAAAGAAAATCATATTATTTGTAGAGGTAAATTGATTACCTTTGCTTTACAAAGTTTGTTCCTTTTTATCTAAAATTCTTTTCAAAATATCATTTACTAAAATGGCAAAACTCTATCACAACTTAACAGATTTTGATAGTTGAGGACTCAAGAGTGAGCTGTGGAGAGGATCACTTCTTTATTCCAAATACCACTACCCAATGGAATGTGGGTGAATGTGGTGCTGTCCACCTCAGTGGATCAGCACTAGGTCAGCTTCCGTACCTACATTCACTTCATCTTTACGACATTGATCAAATTCATCTGGCGCCAGAGTTTTTCAATCAGTATAGCACACACCTCAAGTAGGTAGCAAACTGGAAGTTTCATTTTTTTTTTTTTTTTAGAAAATTAATTTCATATGAAATCAAATTGAATTTTAAAATGTTATTTCATAGCAAATACATGATTCAGCTATAAAACTAATAACACATCTAACCAAACTATCATTACCTAATGAAAAGCATTTTGGTCTACTAATTGTACAGAAACAGACTGACAAGCCACTTGAGACTTAGTAATTGTTAATTTACAATAGGACAATTGGGATGCAATTGGCTTTCACTCTGGGGAGAGTATAAGTGGCTGACCAAGCTTGCTACCAGGGCCTATTTCAGACTTGGTGGCGTGTCACACTCACTGCACTGCACCAACAAAGTGATATGATTTCTTTTTGTATCACTTGAATCCAAAACATGCTTTTAATGTTTTGCATAATCAGAGGTGCATGTTATACACTTGAGTTGCTAGACTGGGTCAACTTTAATTAATTATGTGTGTTACACTGTGTAGAGGATAGCATATGGTTTTATTGAGGGATAAAACCAGGATTTTCTCTCATTTAAAAAAAAAAATCTTATTCAAATGAAAGAAGAGAATGTATGCTACTTCCAAAGATTCAGTACTTTCTTTTTCTGTATCATTCATGACAATCACATAGCACATTTTTTTTTGGTGGGTGACATATGATTTATGTGCTAAAAATTGCCCCTTTCATAAAGAGCAATAGCCAGTCAGAATATCATACATCCTGTTTCCAATCAGGCAATGCCACCAGGGGATGTGATGGGCATGCGGCTACCTTATAAAGAACAGCATAAAATTTAATGTATCCATCACAGTAACATAACGTAAATGACCCATGCCTTGTAGCCGCAACTAAGTCAGCCACATCAACCTGAAGCCACACTCTACTTGGAACTCTTTTGGAGGCACAGAGTTACAAGTGAACATTTCATTTTGCTTTGACAGCTACTAAATATCATACGGGACACTATTGTAATTTTCATAAACAAGGATATCAAAGGAGCATGAAGTAAATGGAACATTGCTGCAGTTCATGATCTCTAATCTTTTATTGTTTTTTTCAAGTAAATTATTGCTTCATTATCTTTCTCTTATTCAATGAATTTGTTATATCTATACCAGAGTAACACTAAAATACTTTTTATCTGCCCTGCAATTTCAGATCACTTAGAATATCCCACGCCAAATTTTCTCCATCTGAAGTATCACTTAGTATTCATGCTCAGAAACTGGAAAGTATAACACTGGAGCATCTCACCTTGGAAGGAAATTTCAGTGTCTTACTTCAGACACAAGATACTCATCAACTTTCTAATTTATCCCTCAAGTACTGCAATATTGCAAGTCTTGGAGAAATCAATCTGTCAACACGCTATGTAAGTCCCTATTCACATACATTATTAACAGACCTTGTCATTTCATACCTTGAAAATGAATCTATGGCAACACAAATTCCTATATTTTGGAACAATGAAATTTTTTAAGTATGAAATATTTGCTGTATATTATATTTTTTGTTTCATTCTGCAGGTTGAAAACTTCAGCCTGGAGCACAATATTATCAAGATCATTCATTCCAGTGCTGTCTTCCAAGACTCAAGCTACATCACTTTCTTGGGCAATAAAATTGACAAGCTTCAGTTCTTGGCAATTGATTCAGATGTGTACAACTTCACTTTTGTGGAAAATGAAGTTAAGTACTTAGCATTGGAGAGTATGGTTGTAAATAATTCAACTATAGTTTCTGTAACAAAAAATTCATTTTACCATATTGAGCAATTTGGCCTAACATGGCTGCAACCAAGGATGAAAGGAAGCTTGATATTCTCCTCTAATCATTTCCATGAATTTAAGCCTGGCACTCTCCTTTTCTATTACTCAGTCCATAACAAGAACCTACAGATTAAAAATAATATGTTTCACATGGGAAACTGTGATTGCGACTCTCAACAACTGATCGGACAAATGACTGATGCAAACAATGACACCCTTTCCAGTTTCTACAAAGAAAGAATGGATATATATGGCATGTTCATTGACTCATCTTACTGCATTGATAAGACAGAAAAAAAACATAAACTAACTGAAATCTGTGAATTGCCTGAAAGTAGGCTTGCATTTTTTCTAATAACATTTGGTATTCTAATCATAAGTGCCCTCTTGATAATCTGTGTGGTAAGAAAAATGTACAAAAATAGGTGTAGATGGAGACACAAAGGCAAAGAAGCATACCATTCAACATTAATAAATCTAATGACTATTAGCTCTGATGAAGATGAATGATGATAACAATCAAATCAAAACTATGGTCAATTTAGTCTTTCACCATTAGTAATATCTTAACCTGTTCATCAGCAAGCAGGAGTGGCCAACTTCTAAGTCCAACACCTAACATGTTTTTTTAAAGAAATCAGACCATATTTCTAAACAAAACAATGAAATTAAACCCCACACAAATAAATGTTTTCTTTTCACTGAATAATAATAAAGTCTTTAAGAACCAGGTAAAATAATAATCGCAGTACAAGAGAAGAAACTACTTACCCCACTCCCTGCACTAAGCCACATTGAGAGCCACCACGAACTGAAAGCAGTAGAGCCCACATTGGCAGCAAAGGTAAAGATCACCAGGGTGGATATGATATAACCTCCAGCAGCCTTGATGTACCAGTTATATGTTGACAGAGGGATGTCTCCCTTCTCCAGCTTCTCTTCTGTGATCAGCTGACCTGTGATAAATACAATACATTAGAAATAGTTAAATAATACATCTGTATCTGAATAGTACTGGTAGTCTAATAGTTTAATCATTTTATTTACTAGATTACCATCTCATTGGAGGTCACTTCAAAAGCAATAAATCTCTTTAGTTGCATAATCCGTGATCATTCAAAAATAAGTGTGCATGCTAGATTAGGCATGTCTGGTCACATTTAAAATTCAGTGTCAGGGACTGCTCCCTTACTGACCAAGCACTACTAATTATGTACATAGTCAGTGCCCAAACATAGGATAGTAACAAGGGGAGATATGATAGGATCTTCTTCCAAGAGAATATCCCTTTGGGTTAAACAAGGCTCTTGGCTACTAGAATAAATGCCTGTGCTTATCAATTAGTCTACAAATGGTATCAAATCCATGCCATAAATGATTTACTAGACACCCTTTACCCAATAAATTGCACAAAGAAATTCAGTGTTTGATATATCATCCCCTAAAAAATAAATCAAAGACACCCATTACCATAACAAATGACACTACTGGATGGAATTTGTGATACATTTCCCCTCAGCAGCTATACCACTACATTGTGTATTTGAATTATTACTTCACATAATCCACATGGGCTCTGTGAGTCGTAATAACCAAAAAGGCTATGGAAAAGTAGTGCTATGTCTGTAGGATACCTATCAAATGTTTGAGGTTTTATATATGAACAAAGCTAAAGGTTTCAGTCCATAATCATATGTATAATCTGAAAGAGCTATTGAAAGCTATCAAACAATTTATAAGCTAAGGTTGGATTCTACTCTTTCTCCTAACTAAAGGAGTTAGTTTTTAAGATAATCCCTTAGGCACATAAACTTCAAAAAATTCTAACCATAATTCTTGGAATATTAATGATCAAATTCTCACCATCTTCTGGTTTCTTCTTAACTTCCTTGACTGGACTTTTCTCTGGACTATTCTTCTGATAGCCATTTAAGCTGCTTCCTCCTGAAATGACGGAGTCTTGTCGCTGGCGTCCTCCAGCATCTGTTTCCTCAGTCTTGCTGCTTAGAGCAATAAACAAGTAAATAAATTCTAATTATGAGGATGGATAATATATATGAACAGTATATAGAAAGTAAGATGTCCCATTACTAAAAATAGTAAAATAATAGTTATAATTATGATGATGATAATAATGATCATTACTCTTATAATTATAATAATATCAAGATCAATCATTATCATCATTACAATGAGGATAATTATAATAATATCAAGATCAATCATTATCATCATTACAATGAGGATAATTATAATAATATCAAGATCAATCATTATCATCATTACAATGAGGATAATTATAATAATATCAAGATCAATCATTATCATCATTACAATGAGGATAATTATAATAATATCAAGATCAATCATTATCATCATTACAATGAGGATAATTATAATAATATCAAGATCAATCATTATCATCATTACAATGAGGATAATTATAATAATATCAAGATCAATCATTATCATCATTACAATGAGGATAATTATAATAATATCAAGATCAATCATTATCATCATTACAATGAGGATAATTATAATAATATCAAGATCAATCATTATCATCATTACAATGAGGATAATTATAATAATATCAAGATCAATCATTATCATCATTACAATGAGGATAATTATAATAATATCAAGATCAATCATTATCATCATTACAATGAGGATAATTATAATAATATCAAGATCAATCATTATCATCATTACAATGAGGATAATTATAATAATATCAAGATCAATCATTATCATCATTACAATGAGGATAATTATAATAATATCAAGATCAATCATTATCATCATTACAATGAGGATAATTATAATAATAATAATAATAATAATAATAATAATAATAATAATAATAATAATAATAATAATAATAATAATAATAATAATAATAATAATAATAATAATAATAATAATAATAATAATAATAATAATAATAATAATAATAATAATAATAATAATAATAATAATAATAATAATAATAATAATAATAATAATAATAATAATAATAATAATAATAATAATAATAATAATAATAATAATAATAATAATAATAATAATAATAATAATAATAATAATAATAATAATAATAATAATAATAATAATAATAATAATAATAATAATAATAATAATAATAATAATAATAATAATAAATAATAATAATAATAATAATCATTTATGATATGATAAAGATAACAACAACAACTATAATAACTAAACAAAAAAAGAGAAAAAAAAAGAAAAAAGAAAAGAGAGAGAGAGAGACAGAGAGAGAGAAAAAAAACAACAACACAAAATTGAGTCTTCATATGAACAACTATACTAACCTTTCCTTTTCCTGATTTTCAACTGTTTCCATATGTGTTCTGTATAGACCAGCATATTCTTTGTTGTCCTCCATCAAAATTGAGTGTGTTCCCAGCTCTGCGATCTTTCCCTCACGCAAGTAAACGACACGGTCACAAAGGGGCAAGTACTGGAAAATCAAGGAAAAGAGCCATACTGAAGACAAATTTGATACTTCATTAATGTTTAACCCTCAGAAATAGGTAAGATACAGGTAAGTAAACAATATTCACATGTTAATGTTTGTGAATCTACTTTACATACTACATACTGATATTTCCCTCAAAATCTGTCTTTTTTATAGTGTACATAAACCTGCGTGCTAAAAGACTTATTCATATTTTTACTAAAACTAATACATTTTTCCAATATTTAATTCATGTCAGACAGAGATTGGTATTTCTGTCTTATAATAAATCAGTATTAAATTAACAATTTGATGCATACATATGTTTCAGAGAAGGCAATAAAGTTTATACACTACCTGCAGCTGATGTGTGACAAACACTGTTGTCTTATTTCTTAAAGCACCTTTGATCACCCACTGGAAGATGTGGCTGCCAACATGAGCATCTACAGCACTCAAAGGATCATCCAATAAATAAATATCTCTGAAAAGGAATAGACAACACAGTATAATCTAATAAATTAATTGTAAGTAAGTCTAACAATCAAACTGTACACAACTAGATATACTTAAAAAAAAAAGGTCTACATTAATAATTATGAAGTTATAAAAAAGAGAAAAAATTATAAGTATTTCAGTTTATACATTTCACAACATAATAAAAAACACACCTGTTTGCATAAAGCGCCCTGGCAAGTGATAAACGTTGTTTCTGTCCTCCAGACAAATTAATACCTCGTTCTCCAATTTCTGTGAAATCTCCAGCAGGCATAGCTCCAACATCTTGGGTAAGGTTGCAGGCATATATCACACGGTAATACCTAAGAACATATTTACATGTATTGGCACAAGATGTTTACAGAAAAATGTAAATTCAAGCCCCGTTTGCCTCCATATTTTATCTTCTAAAGCATGTTACAATAAAAAATCTTAAATTTCACAAACAGTTATTCAATAAAACACTAAGCCCCAACATGTTATATTTCTTTGTATACATATTCTAATAGTGGTATAAATGACAATGTAGGTCATTCTGATCTAAACTCAAAAGGATTTGCCAATTCTTTTGATCCAATTTTCAATACAAGAGAACAATGACTTCTGCTCTTGTAGGAAACTAAGTAAAGAAATATTCCACTGACATATACTTTCTTTTATTTTCTTTCATGTCAGCAAAATCTGTCAGATTTTTGAAGTTTACCATACAATCCACAACCTTTTGTGAGATCTGAAGATGAGAGTAAAGAGAGACAGAAGGACAGAGTTGGAGAGTTGGAGAGACAGTGAAAGAGACAGAGAGAGAGAAAGATACAGAAAGACAGAGAGAGAGAGAAATAAAACAAGAGTACACCAGCTACCAGTTTGGGTAAGCTATGATCCCCTTAGCAAAAAGATAAATCAAAAGTCTGTATCTACTCAGCTGAGAATACTTGGACCTGAAGGGTAAACACTGAAACTATCGAAAATGAACATTCTTTGAAAACTCACCTTTTGGCATCAAATGCTTCACCCATCAAAATATTTTCCCTAAAGGAGGCATTCATGATCCATGCTTGTTGGCCAACATATGCACATGTTCCTTGTAAATACACCTCTCCTGACTGTAAACGCATGTGACCAAGTAGAGCTGATATGAAAGATGATTTTCCAGCACCAACACTACCACACACAGCAATGAGTTCTCCCTGTAGGGTAATAGTAGTAATGGTAAGTCAAGATACAAGCAAGTCAATAATATAATCAAAATAATGTAATAGTGATCTAGCCATCATATTATTGATAAATTATTCAAAACAACACAATGCTGAGAAAAAATTATAAGAGGATGATGAAATAATAATTGCAAAAATAATATAATAACAAAAATAACAATATCATCTGGTTCCTCAACATCTAGCACAAATAGTACAGGTATGAACACAATTAGAAATCTCTCATCCAAAAAAACAGGGAAAACAAAAATCAAGAGAAAAATAGCTCATGGCAACCCTCCATCACTAACCACTCCTCCCTGTTCTGTTGCAGGATAAGGAGAAAAAGATTTTGCTACTGTTGTGTTCTCTAGTGATCTTTTAGTGTGTTTCCTGTTTTGTTAATTTATGGGATTCTCTCCTCTTCTATTTGGAAGTGTGCTATTATACTATATTTTCCTTTCCATTCTGCTACAGGATGAGTGGAATGAGGGACACTCCTCTGATCTCAAACAGGGATAGCTCTTATTCTCAGAACTTTAAACATGTGGCTTGCTGTTCAGTGCAAGGTCTCTTGTTTCTTTTATTTCTATAGTAGATACATACTGGCTACAACAATTGTAATTTCTCTGTTGGTTCATTATTGGGGTTTGGCATAGTTCTCCCTTAGTACACTGTTCATCATATGTAATTATTTATAGTTCATGATTCAGGATTTCTGGTTAGTGCTGTTCTTTGTTTAGCCACTCCCTTTAATGCTACCTGAATCAAGTATTCATCTGCTGATTTGCATCTGATTATGGTGCAAGTGACACTTGGTATATAATTTTCACATACTTAAGCTATTAAACCTTGTCAGCAGGATTGTGGTTATATTTTTAATATCTAACTGATTCCATATACCTCACTTTTATCCTGCATGCTCTCAGTCCTACTAATGAAACCTGGGCTCATGTACTGAATTATTTCCTTCTGCAATGGTAGGTGCAATGGTAGCATGTTCTAGTATTTTTCCTGGTTACTGCTACTCTGTGCAGTATGTTTCAGTATAACTGGTTCAGTGCAAAGGATTCCATGTAGTGTGTAGTGGTGACATCCGAGACAACCCAACAATGTGTCTCAGATAGAAACGTGTTTACACAGTTGTCAGTATTTTGATTACAATGTACATTAACCTAATAGTGCATTAGTAAATCCCACCCCTACTGAGCAGAAAACAAACATTTCTATTCCATCATAATGCTGTATAAAAAATACCTTCTTGATGGAGAGACATAAGTCAAAGAGAACATCAATGTGTTTCAAGTCTACTACTTTTGGCATCAGTTGATCAGCTGGAGTTATGCCATCCTTCTTGTTCCTGGAAGGACAAAATCAGTATTTATAGACAAAGGGAATATCTAAACTGTACAATTTTTCTAGTACTATAATTTCTATGGAAGCAGAAACAATAATTTATTTTCTTCACATTGAAATTACACAATAATAAAAACACCATAATAGGCAGGAGAAGACAGTCATGGTGATTATTGACCATTGAAATAATTTATAATTTGCAACTAACCTCCTCTTCTTCTTTTTCTTTTTTTTGAAGGAAGAGACAGCATCCCATGCAAGGGTGGCTTGGTCCAGTACCACAGCTGTATCAGGTTCTTGTGGAGTCTTGAGGTAGGGCTCCAACTCATCCATCAGTAAAATACTCTAAGTATGCATAAGAACCAATTAAAATCATAACGAAATCAAATATATATATATATATATATATATATATATATATATATATATATATATATATATATATATATATATATATATATGACTGAATGTATTTCTTTGACTTCTTTAATACTTTATGAAATTTCAAATTCAATCAAATAATATTTTATTCACACCTATTTCATATTAATGTATCAAATCTGTGAATCAAAACAGCATAATCATAAAAAAAATCTACCAAAAACAAAGGTTATCAATATTAGTACATCTACACAAATCTACATATTTACCACAAAGCACATGCATATATGAAACACACCACACAGGCCCCATAATTCCACAAAGAAGACCATGATTTATTAAATGTGAAAGAATGACACATATGATCTCCATTTCAATATTACATTACTAAATCTAATTTGAAAAAGAAAAGAGAAAAGAAAAAAAAAGAGAAAAAAAAAAGTGAAATAAATAAAAACAAAGATTACATTTCCTGTGAAAAATGTCATTCCTTCAATGCACAACATCAGCTACGCATGCAGAGGACAATACTGCTTGGTGATTCAATAAACAGGTCATCATATGCAAAGAATCCAAAATCATAGTGGTTCAGTCCATAATTTATAAATAATCCACAATAAAGGCTTGCTAAATAAGGGCACCTAAAACTGTAATCTACTCAATTCTACTTCCCAGAGAGATGATCAAGCAAAGTAAATAAACATAAACAAACCCCAATCATGCACGTGCACAAGCCAAGACTTTTAAATGAGCTTTGTGTGTATTGTGTGCATGTATATGATTTAATTGTAGAAGAAATATGCAGCCCAATATTCACCAATAAACTGAAATCATAACTTATCTTCATGGATATAACCTGTATTATCTGATAAAAAGTCCTTCTGCTATATATAACATTATCATCATAAAACTCTTAAGTAATTAAGGTGATCTATCATCTGATATACTTATTTATATATCCCCTAGCACTAACATCTTCATTACATCTGCTGCTGTATTATGGTTTTATCCCATGTTAAACTTCATACCTTTCCCTGATTAACAAAAATTCTCTTTCCATTCTCTGAAAGCACTATTTGGTATTTGTTCCTGAGTTTATAGAAGACATGGATTGAAATACGTCACAATGCATGGAAATGAGAGTAGGAACTATATCCCAATTCTGCCAGGCCACGTCTTGCAGCGTCATAACAAACCGCTCGATCCATGGAGTGCGGTTGTACGCCACAGTGACGCACCAAAGTGCTACGAGTGGGATATTCAGCTTGAGATAGTGAACTCCCGCGCTCAAAGTCGGCTTGTTGCCATTAATCTCCAGAGCATTATTTTTTTCTTCACTCGGTGAAAAGGGGATGTATGAAAATACATCATACTAACCAAGCCTGTCTCCTAAGAAATGTGTTCTTTTACTACTTTTATTCATATTATTAACTGAAGCATTATAGCCAGCTTACTCAAAAGGGATAAGTACAATATGAAACAGCAAGAGGAAGAGATGCAGTTACCAGTACATCCTCCTTTGTCACTGAGCAATAAATTCCCTTTATAAGTAGTTATTCAACTACTGGAATGACTTCAAAATGCCTGGAGTTACACATTTCACCTAAAGTTAGAATAATAAAAATAATAACAGCAATCAAAACAATGACAGTATAATAATAAGAAGAAAGAATAGAAAAAATAATGATAATAATAATAATGATAAGAAAAACAATAACAATAAGAATAACAGCAATGAAATAATAATAATAATAATAATGATATCATAATAATAACAATAATAATACAATGAAAATAATAACAATGATAAAAAAGACAATAGTGATAATATTACAAATAACAAAAACAAAAACAAAAAATAATAATGAAATATACCAATGATAATAATAAAAACAATGATAACAACCAAAATAATAATAATAATAATAATAAAAACAACAGTAATATACCAATAATAACATTAATACCAATTACTAATAATAGTAATGATGATGAAAGTAGTAATAATAATAATAATAATAATAATAATAATAATAATAATAATCATCTTATTAACTGTAATGGCCATGGCATTAGTAGCAGTGGTAGTGGTAACATTGGCAGTAACAGGCAGTAGTACTGGTAGTGGTGGTAGTAGTAACAATTCAATATTATCATAACAATTATCACTATAACCATCACAACATACATCTTACAAGTAATTATCATATATATTTCTGGTTAAGCTTCATATATACAAAGCTGATAAAATTATATTTTGATTAATACTGAAAATACTTTGAATTACAAATCAGTATGTGATTTCCTGCTTTGCCTTTGTCAATAACAAAAATCTGAGAGAAAGTAGCTTAAAATCAAATATGATGAATAAACATTGATAAAGAATAATTGAGAGTTATTCTTGGAAACTATAGAAATCCTTGGGAAATTCGCATCTACTGTATTCAACTTTACCAATCTCCATCTTATCCTAAGAGGATGTGAGTTTCCTGTTTTATATTTACTTTTTTATCTCTTTTATTTTCTTGAATGCAAAGTACTCTGAGACACTTACATACTGGGGAAATACTGACCACCTATGGTATTATTACTTCCAGCTGTGAAATATTCCCTGATACAGTACAAAATGAGATCCCTGAAGTAAAACATCTTTGGTCTCTGGTCTAATATAACTCATCAAACTCAAGAAAATATGAACCAAATTATATCAATAATCAAATAGGGTATTTTGTAAAACAATAATCCAAGATAAACAAAGAATTAAAAATTTGATGGTTAATCTGGAATAATCTGCTTACTTTTCAGTTCTACAGTAATATTCATACTGTAGGAAAACCAAATTAAATAATTACAATATTTCTATTTCTCTGAACAAGTTATATGCATTAAAAAAATAAACAAAATGAGAAGTCTGCTGTGTGGGAAATAGTATTTTTTTAGTCTGAGCGATTTGGTGTGAAGGATATAGTGACAAGACTGATTTTCTGACTGTAGATATTAACTGAACTAACTTCATGCAACCAGGGCAGTTGCCCAGCACATCCATAAGCTAGGGATGACAAAATTAAGAGAAAATCTACTTCAGCAACCATTCAAATCCAAAAAATCCTCCCTATATGTAAGAGGTAAATCCATCCATCCTGAAGATGGTTACCTTGGAACAGGTCCAAAACAGTTTCTAGCAAGAAGAGCACATGCAAACATCAATCAACAGATCATACTGGATCAACTCAGATCCCAAGATTAGGTCAATAGCTCACTCTTACCTAAAAAAAATGTAGATATGAAGTGAGTGACACATAAGAATAAGAACCAAACCGCATCACAATATGAGTTATAGTGGTGGTGAGAAAGCCACCTTTCTCAATATTGCCACACTGAGGCTGCCAGACATAAGAATTCCAAACCTCAGTGGTTGTGAGGGAGGTAAATGATTATGTAAGGAAACAAGGTAAATCAATCAAACCATGCCCAGACAGGATATAGCTACTAGCTGTGAGTGCTCCTGACTGCAAGGCTGTTAGTTAGTTCCAGCCAGCATCACCACCATTCAAGTGTGGAAAGACAGGAACAGCAACAGCATGTAGTGTTCTACTAGGAGTGGTTCTGCCTAAAAGTAATGGCAACAGATACGGTCCTGCCCACCATATGTAGGAGTACAGCAAAACAACTATCTTCAAGACAGCTGTAGCACAGCCAAGTAGTCATGTACAAGTTCACCTAGTAGGGCCTACTTATCAGAAATGAAAAACAAAAGAAAAGATGACAATAAAATGACAGGATAAGGGAAGCTGAGGGAGCATTAACTCCTTCACGACAGGTGATGCCTATAGGCGTGAAAACAAACTGCTCGAAATGTGGCGTGCAGCTGTACGCCTCAGCGGCGCACCAAAGTGCAGTGAGCCGGTGATTCGGCCTGATGTATTGAACTCCTATGCTCAAAGTCGGGGCGCTGCCATTGATCGCCAGAGCATAGAATTTTTTTTTTAGTTTTCTCCACCCGTCACCATTGGGTTAAGCAGCCCTTCACAACCATTCCTCTCTTCCTAAAGACAGTTGTTCACTTAATTTTTGTCACTTGGCTGCCAACAGTAATGAGAAATAAGGAGCCAACTAAACAAAACAAATACAAGACAGGACCACATGTTCATACTCCTCTGAAAGGAGGTGGGGAGGAGACCACAACACCCAGAAAACACAAAAAAAATGTATAGGAAGAAAACTCAACCCACCTCAGAAAGGAGCAGACACAGAAGAACCAGAAAGGACTTATCATAAAAGACTGTAAAACAGGGAAGAATCATGTCACCCAAGTGCAGAGCTGCATGCACTAATAAACATCCATTCCCACCCTACTTTGCCAGAGAGAGCTGTGAATCAGTGAGAGAAGCAAATGGGGGATATCAACTGAAGTCAGCTCAGCTAATATCTTCAATTAGGGAATTATACCTTGTACCTAAAAACTTCACACCATATCAACAGAGCAGAAAATATCATTAAAACCTTTTTGAGCTTTAAAGAATGGAATATGGCTGTAAGTATCATATCAAAATATCAAATCAAACCAATCAAATCAATACTGTTCCTAAAATTAGAAAGCAAAACATAAGCAGGTATCCCAGCTAATTTTGTTGATTATTATGCAGACGACAGAAGTTAATTTGTAAATACCTTCTTAAATTCTCAAACCTTAATCTATCAGCTTCCTTGTCCTTTGGCAAAATAATGCATCAAACACAATAGTATTAACAATAAAAAAGTTGTATACATTTAGCTTTTAACAAAAATATATAGATTACATAATGAATTTCCTAATGACCTAGATAATGAAATTTTATTTTTTATCCTATCATTTCTAATAGGTAGGAAGCAGAATAATATTTGGTAAAACTAAAACAAGATTGTCATAAAGAACTATCCTATTTCCAGGAGAATGTTTGGAATTCCATGAAAGCAAGACCTTTCCTTATATTTTATTCCATAAATTAATTCTGGAAGGATTTTTTTTTTTTTAAATGCTGGTCATTAATATTATAACAAGAATTATAACAATGACATAAATAACAGTCCTCATTACCACAGCTGAAGTTCAACACTGAAGTTATAATCATTTATAATATTGCAGATATATACTTTAGAATTAAGATAAAATTATCTTTGGTTGTATTGTGGTGCACTTACATACGTGCATGTATATATAAACATCCATGCTTGTGCAGTCATACAAATGAATATGCATTAACCCTTTGTTCATGGATGGCATCTACTATGATGTTATGGCAGCGTAGCGCCGATACTGTGAGTGGCATCCCTCCAGATATGGCCCATACAGATATACTTGTTTGGCGGACCGTGTGGCCACTGAAAAAGCCTGCGCACATTAGGTTAAAAAAATATATTTCAAAAAATGAAAAAGAGGGTAATAATATCAGATCAATGGCATAAAAAATATGAATAAAGAAAATAAAGAAGAAAAAAAATGGGACTCTTGTACCCTTAAAAATATTACAAGTTTGCTTTGCATTAATTGTAGTTATAGCTTGCCACAGTAGAAATGGATGACTTAGACCACTCTTTCTGCAATTTTATCATAGTAACAATGCAAATAAAGTCTATATTGCATTTACTTATTGTTAAAGGTCTGGCACTGAAATTCAGTAGAGTAACTTGTTTTATGTATACGAATACT